CTGCTGCACCCTGCATCGCTCACCCGCCACATCCCCCTCATGAACCCACAGCACAGCACATCACGCCCTTTCCCTTTCCCTTTCAAGTTCACACCACACCCAGCAAACCCTCCGCAACACTCTCGCCGAAAACCCCTGATTGGCAGTTACTGTACAACTTGAAGCAGATTGAGAAGGCCACTGGGCGCGACCTGGCCACGGGGCAGCGCTGGGGGCCGCGGCCGTTGGATTTGGACATCATATTCTACGGCTCACGCTCCATCGATCACGAGGTCCTCACGGTGCCGCACATTAGGTGTGTGTGTGTGTTCGTGTGTGTGTGTGTGTGTGTATGTTTGGATGCACGTGTGTGTATGTGTGTGTGTGTGTGTGTGTGTGTGTGTGTGTGTGCGCGCGCGCACGCGCATGTGTGTGTGTGTGTATGTGGGTGTGTCTCTGTGTGTGGGTGTGGGTGTGCGCGCGTGTGGGCGCGAGCGTGCGCGTGCGCACGGTGTGTGTGTTGTGTGTCGTTGTGTGTTGTGTTCTGTGTGTGTGCGCGCATGCACGAACGCGTGTGCGCGCGCGCGCGCGTGTGTGTGTGTGTGGGTGGGTGGGTGTGTGCGCGCGCGCGCGTGTGTGTGTGTGTGTGTGTGTGTGTGTGTGCGTGTGTGTGTGTGTGTGCGCGCGTGTGTGTGTGCATGTGCACCCAATATATGGACCCTGGTTGTACCCGTATGGGCCAAGCTGGGTTCTTGATCGACTAGCAATGCGCCTGACTTACCGGCTGGCACTTCTGATGTGCCGCCACCACCACACAAGCTCGCACACACATTGTGACGCAAACACACACACACACACACACACACACACACTCTAGCGCGCGCAATAACCCACCGCAAGTCCCTTCCCCCCTGCTGCTCGCTCGGCCCTCCACTCGCCCCTATCCGCGCGACCAGGTGGTCAGAGCGGCCGTTTGTGCAGGCGCCCGTCGCCGACCTGCTGATGCCATCTGACCTGGAGCGCGGGTACATATCGGAGCAGGAAGCCGAGCGGTCGGTGCTCGGGCGCCTGCGGGAGGCCGCAGCGGCATGGGAGGCTGGTGGCGGCGAGAAGCAGGCGCGCGCCAGCGCAGGGGCGCCATTCGCAGGGCGGGGGTGCTGGGGAGGCGCGGCGGCCGCGGGTGCGGGCCTGTCTGCAGGTCGGCCTGGCCCTGCAGAGCCGCCTGGGTCATGGTAGCAGGCATGCGCTGTGTATCTCTTCCCACATGCACCCTTCCTCCTCGCAACTGCTTAGCCTTCATGCAGGCGGCCCCCTACCGCCTTCCACGCCCCGCACTCTGCGCTCCCACCTCACCCCTACGCCTTGCACTCTCACTTGTCTCTCCCAGCAGGAGCCCACCGACCCAATATCAAACGCCCACCCTAGAACACGCGTACTCGTACCTCTCATCTCCTTGCCTCTTAGCAGGTGGGACAGCCCGGCCTGTGCCGCGTGCTGCCGGTCCAACGGCAGATCTGGGAGCTCGGCAGCATGACTCACATTATGGGGATTTTGAACGTCACGCCCGACAGCTTCAGCGACGGCGGACAGCACATGCAGGCGAGAGGGCGGGGCCGGGGGCATTGTTGGGGTGTGCCCTCAGGCCTCTCCAGCCATTTCATCAGAAGAGGGTGCGCCCTTGTGGCGGCTGCTGCATGTTTGGGTGGTGGGGTGTAGGAGCCCCGGGGTCTGCTTTCTTGGTTGGGTATGAGAGTGCAGCAGGGCAGGCGCATCCTGCCCCCCAATGGCCGGTCGCCTGCCTCGGTCGAGTCCGTGCTCGCACGGCTCGCGCCCAGCCCAACCCCAACGGCCGACCGCGTCCCCGCAGGGACCCGAGGCGGCGGTGGCCGCGGCGCGCGCTATGGTGCGGGCGGGGGCGGGCATCATCGACGTGGGCGGGCAGAGCACGCGGCCGGGGTCGGAGCGGGTGGGGGCTGAGGAGGAGATCAGGCGTGTGCTGCCTGTGATCAGGTGCGAACGCACGCGTGCGCGTGTGTGTGTTTGCGTGTGTGTGTGTGTGTGTGTGTGTGTGTGTGTGTGTGTGTGTGTGTGTGTGTGTGTG